CCTTGTCACTATCTACTTACATTCAATTGAATTATCTTCTTTTTGTGTGTGGAAAAAAGTTATTACAATAAGTTTTTCATATCATAAGTTTCCTCTACTCATTTTTTTTGTCTCAAAGATTTTCTGCTTCTCAGTATAAAATGTTGTTTTGATTGTTCAGCTAACATTTATTTTCCCTCCTGCTGGATAGAAGCCCCCTCGTGAGGTATCGCTGCGTCTTATTTCTACTGTTATTGAAGGAATGAAGCACTGGAGCCAGTATAAGAACAGAGTACCAATGCTGTTTGAGATCTTTGGTGAGGAGACTATCACACACATGTGATCCCCTCGATATGAATCGTTGTCTAACAGTCCTGTCTCTCTTTACAGCCACACTGGACTCTGCAGTTACAGTTGGAGAATATGGAGCCAAGAAATTCCTCATGAGGGATGGTAAAGAGGTCGTCCAGTGTCTTTACTATGAAATTGTGAGTCTAGGAATATTGGTCCTCTTCCTGAGCTACATCCTATGGGCCGTTCACACAGAACACATTTTTTCCATTCCACTGCACTACTTTTCTTTAATGTTTTTCACTGTAAGCACATGCTAGACTGACGTGTTTGACCTTTGCTTTCGCGTCTTGTGCAGTTCTAAAAACATGGTTTTAACTTATTTTCAAAACACATCTGATCTCTAGACCTTGCAGGGTTTTTTTATTAGCTATAAACAAACAGTTATTTGAAAGCGCAGGAATGTTTCACAATATAATATTACTGTTTTACTGTATTTTTGACCTTTCAACGTGATGACGTAGGTCCCGGCGCATTGCAGATTAGCTAAATCCGAACAATTGTAGTTAAAAAGTATATATATATATATTTTTTTTTTTTGAAAATGACCTATCGTTTCGCTAGATAAGACCCTCTTCCTCAGCTGCGATCGTGCACAGCCGGTTAAAGCACTTCAAAGACCTTTGAAACTGCATTGATTTGGACTTCAAAACGTTGCTTGCAATTGAAGTCCATTATTCGAAGAAAAATCCAGAAACTTTTTCCTCAAAAAACGTATTTTCTCTTCCACTGAGGAAAGAAAGACATGGATATCTTGGATGGCATTGGGGTGATTAAATTATTAGGAAACTTTCATTTTGAGGTGAACTAATCCTTTAAGATGATTTAAAGGAATAATTCTCCCAGATATTAAAATTCTGTCATTGTTTATTCACCCTCATGTTGTTCCAAACCTGTATGACTTTCTCTGCCTCACAGAACACAGATGTTTTAAAGAATGTTCACACTTCTCTTCCATACAATAAAAAATAATAGATACTGTGGCTGTCAAGCTCCAAATATGACAAAAAAGAATCGTAAATGTAGCATAAACGTGGTCTGTAAAAATTGAGCTCATACCACAATATTGCTGTAGATGGCCGTAATTCTCCAAAATGTTTTTTAATGTTAAATTTGTGGGTTTAGAACACCAGAGATGAAATTACAGATACAGATCTGAAGAAACAAGAAACAATTAAAAGAAAAAAGATGCTCTCTCTGGGTTATGACTTGCGCCCACTTTTTTCCATTGTGCATTTTCTATTTTTTCAAATATGAGAAACCATTAGGACTGCACACTGTTATGTGATGTTGGCAGTGGTAGGGACACCGTAAACATGTATGTTCAGAGTTATAAAGTCATTGTATGTCTTTTCTGTAGGATCAGATTCTGCCCAGACTGATCAGAGGTCAGGTGCATCGCTGCATCGGAAACTACGACAGGCAAAGGGACACAATGACTTGTGTGTCAGTCCGAGCTGCTTCACTGTCAGAGCAAAGGAATGCGCAGGAGGCTGTGAGAGCATCAGATGCAGAGATGAGGGGTGTGGTGCTGGCTCTCAGTGAAATCTGATGTGGATCGAGTGAGTAACACGAGCACAGACTTTTACTGAAGTTAGGGTTGGTTCTGTTTTGTGAATTAGTTCAATAAGAGATGATCTTCAATTGTCTGTGAAGGTAAAACAGTATCACAGTAAATCTGTGATCTGTATCGGAAGATTTTGATTCTGTACGCGATGAATGAATGTTACTTTGCATTGTTCTGAGATATAATTTAGATGCATTTATAATATTTGAGTTATTATAATTGAGATGCATTTAAAACATTTTGTTCTAATTTGTGTTTATATAATCTCGAATTATTATAATTGAGAAGCATTTCGAATATTTTAGTTCTAATTTATATGCATATCTAATCGGAAGGTATTGTAATTTATATGCATATACTATAGTATTTAAGTCATTTTAATTTATTGTAAGTTGTCATAATAATTCTAATTTATATGCATAATATTTGAGTTAGAATGTATATGCATTTATATTGTTAATTGGTGCATTAAAAACCAATTTGTATTCAAATCCAAAACTTGGACAATATATTTTTAAAGATTTATTGTCGTCTTCGTCAGAGACAATTTATATAGAGACATGCCACTTCCTCAATCCTCAATACAACTATATAGGGAAAACCCGTAACGCCAAATATGGCGGTTGTATGCACATGCCCCTCCCCTCCCGCTGGAAAGCCAATCGTCTGCTTTTAACAGTCAAGCCGGGAAACATGTAAGCCTATCGTCTGGTTCCACTGACGCATGCGCACAGTTGAGGTTTGCGACAGCGGAGACGAGAACCCTTGCGCATGCGTAGTAAACGTAGAACCTGTGGGGAAAAAGACCTTTTAAACCTTATTTTGGGGCAAAGTCATCAAACTTTTTCAGCGATTTTTATCATATTTTACTGCTGTTTCTATACAAGCAGTTTTTATGTCCTGGTGACCAGTGAAAGTGCAGTTCTGACTCTCTGCCCATTCATTTAGATAGGAGCCTGGTCTTGTTAGTCCGAAATAGCTGCCCGGAGGCGTTGCCAAGATGGCGGCCGAGTGGCATGACTTGCCTAAAAGGACTTTGTCTTCGTTCAAAAGACTTTGAAGAATTTGCTAAGTTTATGAAATGATTTATTACAAAGAAGAAACACATAACAGCAATTCGTTAAGGATTTCAAAGGTTAAACAAACACATTGATGAGGTAACATCTCAAAATATATCTTTCAAAAGGGAACCAACCATCAGGATGTCATGTTACAGAATTATTTACAACCAAAACATCACAGTGGGAAACCCACAGCACTAATCTACGAGTTCTAAGAGCTACCAGTGATCAGACTTCACATACATACATGATCATAAACAGAACTCAAGAATGCAAGTCGCCGACACCAGCAGTCAGAGGACGCCAGTGTACACCTGCAAAAACACATTGAAAGGGCCTGCTATGTTTGACATCTGATGCCAGTTTAAAGTTGTGCTCTGTCCTCTGAGCTACAGCTTATCGTTAACAGTTAAAGGTACACACATATTATGGGGGGTTGTTGTTTTTTTCTTGGCTGTATGCTCATATATATCATAATAGAAGTCAGAGTTAAATCTACTAAGAGGGCAGTTGAGTGCCAATGTTATCAGCCAGTCTGAACACATAACACACAAATGAATCAACACAACAGCAAAAGTGAACCGAGTGCAATATGGAATGATCCTAGTAGAAGCTTTAGCTTCACTGTATTGCTGTGCCAAGAGTAAATGCATTAGCACATTAGATTAATTTGATCGTTTAAATTTCTTAAAGTGATGCATGAATCTGTCATGACAAATCAGGACTGAAATGTTTTTTGTTTAATGACTTGCTAATTTAGCTTTCATCATTTTGTTCTTTGTTTGAAACCCTCTCAAAACACCATCATCTTGGCAAGGAGCTCCATCATTAAAGACTTTCGACTAAAACGAATCATCATTGAAAGATGGAGACATACAGAAAGAATCGCACAATGTTAATCCAACAAGAAAGCATTTACAAAATGTTTTAGAAGTAGATTACCTGATGAAAGGTACTTAAGTCTTAGAATTAGCAATGGTCAAAAGGCACAAGTTGGTTAGAAGTTGGTGTTTTCCAGAACATAGTGTTTCAGTGTTAACTAAGCCCAACTTTAAGTTAAGAACAGCCTTGCTCCTGATTTGTGTAATCCTGAATAATTCAGTACTAGTATGTGTTACAGCAAAAGGAGGCTTTCACAACATTTCCTGTTCACCCAGTTTGGAAAAATGCAAGGTTTTACTTGTGGGATCATTTAACTTTCACATACAGTTGTTGAGAAAAGTCCATGCTTCTGATCCATCCATGGCAGCTTGAAGCAACGGCCTTGTCCGTACTATATATACAGTTCCTTGATGGCTCTCACAGGGTTATGAGAAACAAAGTGAAGAAAAATACAGTGTGAATTTAAGACTCGTACGGAGAATAAAAAAAGGTTTGAGTTCACTTAAGCCACAGTGTTGGTCCTTGAATAGGTACTATCATGTGTTAGAAACTGTATAATGCAAAAGTCAGATTGACTGAGTTTGAGTTCAGTTTCTCTCAAACTGTTTCTACTGAATCTGTTGATCCATTAGCAGAAGCTCTAAATAAGCCCATTTTAAAAGGGGCTGTCATTTTTTCCCCTTTCATTGCATGCTGACAAGTCTCAGTAAAAAGTCATTGGAAAATCTTGCTCAATTTTCATTTAATTCGCTATTTTTGGTTTTGATCCTTGCAAACAAAATCTCGAAATTTTCACCATGGTCCATTATCCGTTATTTTCAGTAGCTAGTCCATAGAGGTCTTCAAAAACAGACAAAGCTTTAAAACAAATTAGCAAGAAGGGAAAGACAGACCAAAATCCATATAATCCTTTTCAAATGAGTTTTTCACTTGGGAGGTTGATTGTGTTGGGGGGAAAGGACCTTATCGAATATGGGAAGACGCCAGCACAATAAAACAAGACGAATAGAGGGGATGAGGGCTCTCGAGTTCTGCTCATCTTGATGGCATCATTATTACCAACCATGGCAAATGATGCAGAGACTCAGCAGTCTGTCCATCCTCAGATTGTTGTGTAAATTATAGCAGTGATGGCTGAGCAGGTTGAATGTTGAAGGTGCTGATCTTTAAAGCTCTATAACAGGGTGGGCAAGGGGGTGGGTGACAGATGCTCCTTGGGGGCGTACTTGGCGAAGAAGGGCAGGAAGAGTGTGAGCATGACACCTACGATAGCCAGCATGTAGCCCCATCCTATCTGACACTCCCCGGCGTAGTAGATGTCCGAGTCTCCGCAGAAAGACTTGACCAGGCTGGAGTTCAGACCGAAGGGGTAAACCAGTAAACCAGATGCCATAATGACCACTAGAACAGAGACACAGAGAGGAAGCAAAGCAATTATTGGTGGATTATGTACACAGTGGGAAAGCAGTACAATGGAAGTTAGGTGTAAATTATACCTCAAGACAATTATAAAACATGGTGTTCAATTTGAATGCAAAAAAAAAAAAAACTTTGAGTTTCAGGACAATATTACAATGAAGAAAAACAAAGCAAAACAAGATCAAATCTACTTAACCATACAAACAAATAAATAATAAGTAAATAAATGTGTGGCTTAACAAAACAATGAAAGTGCACAGTCTGCATGAAAAAGAAAATGTAACTGAAAATGAGATTCAGTCTAGGTCAGACAATAAAACATGTTCCATGACATTAAAAGCATCCTAAGCTTTATTAAACTGGTTAGACGAACAATAAAAAAAGTGATATTTTAAAACCCAAAGAAAATTCTTTTTTTTTAAAGTGGTTGGTTAATTTATTGTCTTTTTTGACACTTTTATCAAAAGTTTATTTTAAAATATTAATAAATTAAATAAATAGTAAAATAAAACATTTAACATGAAGAAAATAATTAATAAAAATCTAAATAATTCATGAAGCACTTACTGAAATGAGAAGTAGGCCTACCTTTTATTAAACATGAGATATTGTTTGACATCTACATTTAATGTTTATAAATTCTGTTGGCTATTTTTTTTTTACTGCTGTAAATTTATCATTTTTGCCCTCAATACCTCTTTAAAATACTTCTGACTGGTCAGAAAACTTAAATTTTAAATATTGTAGTATCAACAACATTGCTCAGGGTGGCAGTAGTGCTGCGTCTCTGTCCAATGAACGGATCATTAATGAAAGAAAGGCCCGCAATACTCTGCAGTTTTGACATGGAAATATCAAACATACACAAAATCATCAGCCCTTATATGTCTGAAATCAAAATTCATTGGATGATGAGTGACAGTCCATGAGTGTGAGTGGTGTATGGTGACTGAGGAAAAGCCATTAGAAGAGTTTCTAGGTGATCCATTTTCTCAGACATTTCCAGTGTTAAAATCATTTGCTGTCAAATATCTATTGAATCATGCGATCCATTTCTATGTTGGCTGAGTACCTGCGTATTTAATTTGATTCAATTAAAGTCACAACAACCATTATAAAATGTTTAAAGCTGGATGACAATATAAATATATTTAAATAGTATTGATAAATAGTATTTAATTACATAAACATATTGAGAAAATATTTTGGGGTCAGTAAGAATTTAATACTTTTATTTAGCATTGATGCATTTATTTGATCAAAAGTGACAGTATAAACTTTTACATTGTTATAATCCTGAAAAAATAAATGCATCATGGTTTCCACAAAAATATTTAACAGCACAACTGTTTTCAACGTGGATAATAATGTAAAAAAGTTTTCTTGAGTATCAAATCAGCATATTAGAATGATTTCTGAAGGATCATGTGACTGAAGACTGGAGTAATGATGCTGAAAATTCAGCTTTGATCAAAGAAATAAATCACATTTTCAAATATAAAAAAGTTATTTTAAATTGTAAAAATATTTCACAATATTCATCCATGACTGTATTTTGATCAAATAAATGCTGCCTTGGTCAGCACAAGATACTTTTTTTCTTAAAATATAAAAAAAATCTTACCAAACTTTTGAATGACGGTGCATTTTAATTATGAAAAACTATTAATACTGTAAAATATTTCCCCTGACATGTAAACAATAACAGAATGTTATTCAATTGTTGCTGCAGTGATGTGATGAAGAGGTGTTTCTATATTTAAGTATTTTAGCACGACCTTATCGACCACTCAGCATCAGTTTAATCATCGCAAATATCGCATGAAACCCCGGCTTATCCTCAACATACTGCATAACCGGTAAATGACTTAATGGCTATTTTCGCCCAGGGGTGCAGAACATCTTAATTCATCTATCTATTATCCCTCTTCAGGCCCTCCACACAAAAACACCCACACTAAGAACAGTGCTTTCCTTCTGTTGAATGGCCTCAGATCCAGCTGTGCTTGTGTTTATCAGCGGGAGCCTGGCATCTCGAAGCTGCTCTGCTAATGACATCATCATGTCCTTCTCTAGCTTTGACTGTATCCACACAAACGGCCTCTCCGGCAGAGCAAAATCACTGCTATCAGTGGATGTTTACACTCACATGACAGGGCATTCAATGAGTCTCAACAAGCTATTCAATAGAATTTAATTTTAAAGGCAATCTTCAATGAAAGACACATACAGATAGTGCAACTGTATGGAGTTTAATTAAAGCGGGTCAAACCAACAAGAGCTTCACTGCAGAGGCTTGCAAATCTCAGGGCCAATTGCAGTCTAGATCAGATAAAAGCTTGAGCCCGCGTGTGTGTGTGTGTGTGTGTGTGTGTGGCCTGGTATACTCTACATTATGGGGAGAAAATGTCCCCACAAAGATGGCAATATCTGAAATCCTTGTCCTTGTGGGGGCATTTTTTGGTCCCCAGGTGGAAAACAGCTTATAAATCATACTAAGTGATGTTTTTTGAAAATGTTAAATGTAGAAAGTTTTGTGATGGGGAGGGTTAGGGTTAGTGTAAGGGGATAGAAGATACAGTTTGTGCAGTATAAAAATATGCCTATGGAAAATCCCCATAAAACACAATATGTGTGTGGGAGAATGGGACAGCTGTGTGACTACAAAAATACACCTTATCAGACACTGAACTGCGGTCTGTCTTTAGCTTTAAAGTCCACATCGTCTTGATTCTCAGATTGCACAGTGTTACAAAGTGTACTTGGTGTTTTGGTACATGTGGCTTTGATTCACAGATGACGTATAAGGTAGCCACTTAATAGTGGCCAAATTTAGATTCAGGGTCAACGAGTACATAAAGCTAAAAGAGGCAAAGAACACACTTCAATACCAAAGACATGGCTCAAAGGAATAACACAGTTTAAATACTAGTTGAGCTCTATTGACAGCATACTGTCGACTGCGATAGGAAATAATTAACTCATAAATGAAATAATACAGTATATCAGTTTGTATAATGATACAAAACAATATATTGACAGAACAGCACTTACAATGGAAGTGTATGGGGCAAGTGTTACAGCTGCACGATAGACTTCCATTTCAAACTGACTTTGTGGTAATAACAATGAAATAAAAAATATTACATTTAAATAGGTCCAAGCATTTACACTGTATTTTCCAGACTATAAGTTGTGTTATATCATCTGAAACATGCTTCGACTTCTATTCTAGAGCGACTTATATAATGCTAATAACGTAAAGCACGCAAAATAGAGTATAAATAAATGCACACACAAATACACGTGAAAAACAAATCAGTCCTAGCACAGGTGCCACTAGTGTTGCAGAAACTACATGGGTTACTTCACATTTAATGAAATGAAGGAGATAATCGCCTCCGTGCACACTTTCACTTTCATTTCATCAATTCGTTTAGGCTTGGCATTTATAATAAATGTTGTTTATATAGACTTACACCACTATAAATTATGTTATGGGTTCGGTATTTTACATTATTCGTGAATAAAATAATAAAAAGCAACTTATACACCTATCGATGCGAGTTTTCCCAGTTTTTTTTCCTCAACAACACAATTTTGCCCCCGTGTGATTTAAACTCAGGTGCAGTGTTGAGTAAGTTACTCTAAAATTATGGTAATTAATTACTAGCTACTAATTAGATCCTCAACAGTGTAAATAGATTACTGTACTAATTACTCTCTCTAAAAAGTATTGCATTACTTACTACTAATACAAGGTGCTTAAAGTGCTTGAATTTGACGTTTTGAAATGCAAGTCGTGGAAAACCCTTGAAAACAGCCATATTTATGAAGCACTTGAAAAGTGCTTGAATTATTGAAAGACTATGTGAAATTAGTGTTAAAATTTATTGATAAAACAATCTTTTCACACAAAATCAACGCTGGAACCCGTCGTCTAATACAGATATAGAGCCATTTCGCATGGCTATGAGTGGGATATTGCTCATGTAAATATCCAAGTATATGTTACTGTCAGGTTGTAGCAGGCTGCTGAAGACGAGGACACGGAATAAGCGATATAGATATTTATTAACAAACTTGACTTCTATAAACATACAAAAACAAAGGGAAAGGAACTCCAGGACTTCAAAACATACAACCATACGCGGACGACGACCAACAAACACTGAGGGAAAACACAGGGCTTAAATGAACAGGGACTAATGGGATGATTAACAGAAAACAGGTGCAGGGAATTTCTAATCAGACATGGCGGGAAAACTAACAGGACTGAACCAAAAGTCACAAAAGACGGGGGAAACAAGATCTCAAGACAGAACTAAAACACATTGAAATCGTGACAGTACCCCCCCCTCTCCGAAGGCGCGACCTCGCGCCGTACAACATCCAAAGGGGTGGGAGGGTGGGCGCCCTGGAGGCTGACGAGGGCATGGTGATGCATTGACAGGAAGCCTCCAGGGCGGAGCTGGTAGCTTGGGGAACCGGGGTGGAACCGGCTGTGGACGTGGCCATGGCGGAGCTGGATGTGGGCGTGGCCACGGCGGAGCTGGACGTGGGCGTGGCCACGGTGGAGCTGGACGTGGGCGTGGCCAGGGCTGAGCAGACGAACCCTTGGGCGTCCAGGGCGGAGCTGTCGGACCCTCGGGCGTCCAGGGCGGAGCTGTCGGACCCTCGGGCGTCCAGGGCGGAGCTGTCGGACCCTCGGGCGTCCAGGGCGGAGCTGTCGGACCCTCGGGCGTCCAGGGCGGAGCTGTCGGACCCTCGGGCGTCCAGGGCGGAGCTGTCGGACCCTCGGGCGTCCAGGGCGGAGCTGTCGGACCCTCGGGCGTCCAGGGCGGAGCTGTCGGACCCTCGGGCGTCCAGGGCGGAGCTGTCGGACCCTCGGGCGTCCAGGGCGGAGCTGTCGGACCCTCGGGCGTCCAGGGCGGAGCTGTCGGACCCTCGGGCGTCCAGGGCGGAGCTGTCGGACCCTCGGA